GGGAACAGGAGTCCCGACTGGGCGGCCGGACTCCCGGGTTCTCCGGCCGCCGCGCTCGCGACCTTGGGCTGGTCTTGCTCCCTGGAGCCCGAGTTTCCCCGGTGAAGCAAGGAGGGTGAATCTGCAAGGTGGGTGGGCGCCCGCGGGGTCCCATATCTAAGGAGTAGGCCCAGAGCTGAGCCCGCCCAGTCCCCACCCCTAAAGCCTCTCTAGCTGGGGAAGAGGGCAGTGACAGCACAGAAAGCCGTCATGACTCTCGTTGGCTGGGCAGAGGCGCTGGGCTCCTCTTAGGGCAGGCAGGCTGGAGGCCAGCACGCCGGGGACCCCAGATGCGTGACCTTGGGCCGGCACGCTCCACTACCAACCTGTTTTCCCATCTGAGGAATGGGATAGATAGGTTTTGGATTCAATTCACAAGCATTCATCACGCCGTGCAGGGGAGTGGGATCTGTCCTGCCTGAGATGACCCTTCCCAGGTACACAAGGCCCCAGTGTTGCTCCCTGGCCCTCAGGGCCCCTCAGATCTTCACACCTGGGCTAGAGGCTGGGCCTTGCCCCAAGCTGGACAGTCAGTGGGTGGAACATAAGGGGCTGCAATGTTGGATGGGTTCATTTGTGTTGTGTGTGTGTGTCTGGGCAAAGGGCAACTCAAACACCATTCAGTTAAGCACATTTACCCATTTGAAGGAGAGGTAACTGAGAGGTAGAGAAAGGAGTCGACCGGTCCGAGGTCCCATCTGTTTGTTTACCATTTATTTGTTGGACTCAGATGTTCTATGCAAGTACTGTGCTTGGCACCGGGAGGACAAGGGTAGGAGCAGAGGATGATACAGGCGTTCTCCTCATGGAACTTACATCCAGGGCAAATTGGGATAGAACCCAGCTTGTGGCCTCCACCCACCCCGCCACTCCCCCCAAGGTCAGGCCTCTGTTCCTTTTGTCCCTCCAAGAGGCAGAGCTAAACTGACTCTTAAAGGATAACTGGGCTTTGGACAAGTGGATAGGAGGGTGAAGAGCTTCCCAGGGGTGGGGGCCTCTGGGCAAAGGCACTGCGATTGGACCACATGGGCTGAGTTTGGAAAGCATTCAGGTCACCTGGTGTAACTGGACACTAGGTAATTAGAGGCAGGTCGCAGAGGACCCGATTGTGCTCTCTGGAAAGCGGTGGCTGAAGGTCTGTGAGAGCGAGGCCCCTGAAGACTGTCTCCAGGGAGGGTGGGAGAACCTGGGTGGAGAGAAATGGACCCCCAGAACTGCCAGTGAGGCTTGGGAGCCTCATTTCGAGAAGACCACAGGACCCGCGATGACTCAGGAGTTTTGGCTGCAGCTTCAGAAAACGGATCAGCACACCTCCGCTCCCAAATGGGCAGGACCATGGGAGAGTCGATGGGACAGGCCCTGCCCACCTATACCACCCAATCTCTGGGACTTCGAATCTTCTGGGCCTTAGTTTTTCAGTGTGCGCGCGCGCGTGCGTGTGTGTGCGCGCGTGTGTGTGCGCTCGCGGAGGAGCGTGTGGATCGAGACCCCAGGCCCTCGCAGCAGCAAGCCCCCAGGGGTCTCCAGGACTGAGGCAGAGGCAGGAGCGCGTTTTCAGCACCGGACGACGGACAGCACCGCGCGGAAAGGAGGAGTGGGAGGCGGGAGGAGGAGGAGTCAGCATCCCGGGGCTTGCCTGGCCGCGCTGTCGCCGCCCCGCCGGGCCTCCCACCAGGACTGGGCTGCTGGGCTCCGCTTCGGGATTGGGAGAAGTGTGGGGGATTGGGGAGGAAAGCGAGCGCAGAGAGGGGGCGGCACGGCCCCGAGGACAGGGCTTGGTCAGAGCCCGGCCGCCCCATTCGCTCCCGGAGCACATCCCACGAGTGAAACTTCGTTCCCGGACGCCCGCCACGGGTCTCCTCGCGCGTCTCCTGCTGTAGTCGTGGCAGGGTGCGCCAAGTGCCCCATCGCGCAGTCGCGGAAATAATTCTCAACACCCTCCAGCCTTACCCCATCTATTGGCTGCTCCCACCGCGAACTAGCAAGCCCCTTATCCAATCCGAGAGCGCCTCGAATTGCTCCGCCTACCCCTCGCCCGGATGTTGACTGCAGCCGAATCCGCTTTGGCGAGAGCGCATCAGTAACCAATGGAGAGAGGAGAGGGGCGAGCCTGCGCTGCCCAAGAGCCAATGGCAGGCGGTGGAGGATGACGCTGTGGACATGGCGGCTGCAGTCCACCGTCCAGGGGACGTGTCGGGTCGCCGAGTTACTTCAGTGGGTGCCCCGGGAGCGGAGCAGCTTCCTTATTAGTATTCGTACCCACCAGGCGGCGCAGCGGGCCCTCGGGGAGAGCGAGCGTCGCGGCCATGGCTTATCACTCGGGCTACGGCGCCCACGGTGCGTGGGGTGCGGGGCGGGCGGAGCGCGGCTGGGCCCTCCGGAGAGTCGGCGGCGCGGTCCGCTCTCCCTGAGGGACAGTGGCGCTGAGGGAGCGACCGCTGCCCAGGGCGGGGTGTCACTCGGGCCCCTGCCCCGTGAGACTCTGCAGCGCGTCCCGGACTTCGCTCTCTCGCCCTAGTCCGGAGATCGGGCAGTGATGGTACAGCTGGGATCCCTATGCCCGAGCCGGGCACGAACGGGGTTCGCCTCCGGAACTTCCTTTTTCCGTCGGACCCTAGTGGAGTCCCTGACCACTATCCAGGGCCTCCTATGAGCCACCTGTCGCTTTTCTCATCTTTGTTCATGCAAGGGTGCCCTCCCAATTATCTTCTCCATTTGGCAAACTTGTACTCACTCTCCTCAGCTCAGTTCAGAGATCACTTCCCTTGAGAGGCCCCCAGAAACCCCAGGTGGGCAACCAATTCTAGGCGCTGCCTCAGCTCTTCCTTTGCCTACACTTACCAAAGGATTTCTCGCAAAGACCCCTCATCAAAGTTCTTTCTGAATTAGCTACCCTCCACCCAGCCTGGGTTTCCCTCACTGATTGCTTGACGTCTCCAGGACCCATACAGGGCCGCCCAGCTAGGGAAAGGGCTGTGGTTTGGTATTCCTGTATGGTATGCTTGGTATCCTGTCACCTACTCTGATACTTCCAAACCCGCAGGCTCCAAGCACAGGGCCCGGGCAGCTCCGGACCCCCCTCCCCTCTTCGATGACACAAGCGGTGGTTATTCCAGCCAGCCCGGGGGATACCCAGCCCCAGCAGCAGACGTGGCCTTCAATGTCAACCACTTGCTTGGGGACCCAATGGCCAATGTGGCTATGGCCTATGGCAGCTCCATCGCATCCCATGGGAAGGACATGGTGCACAAGGAGGTGTGGCTTGCCCCCAGGGCAAGGGTGGCAGAATTCTTGGCTAGGGCTGGGGCATCATGGGATTCTGCCCAATTCCTCAGGGAAGGAGCACACAGGAGCACCCTGAGGCTCCAGGTGCGGCTTGCCCACAGCCTCCTCTCTCCCCTCCCAGCTGCACCGTTTTGTGTCTGTGAACAAACTCAAGTATTTTTTTGCTGTGGACACAGCCTATGTGGCCAAGAAGCTAGGGCTCCTGGTCTTCCCCTACACACACCAGGTGAGCTTCCTACCAGGTGAGCTGGGGGGCCTCCCTCATCCTGCTCCAGAGCCTGGCTTCCAGACCTCAAACCCCTTCTCTCCTGTTCTCTCATCTTCTGACCTGGCCGCTGCTGCCACTGCCAGAACTGGGAAGTGCAGTACAGCCGTGATGTGCCTCTGCCTCCTCGGCAAGACCTCAACGCCCCTGACCTCTATATCCCCAGTGAGTCTCTGACTTGGGCTGCAGGATGCGGGGGGACTTGTGCCTTGAGGGACGAATGAGAAGAGAGGGGCTCAATTATTCAGCATCCGCTCTTGGTGCTTTTCGTGTGTGGCAGTTAGTTGCTAGACACCAGTTAGGTGGTGCGGGGTGACCAGTAAGGATCTTCCTGAATGTGCCTTCGGTGTCCCCAGGACACCCTTTTGAGACCTTCCTGCCTCTTGACTTGCACCATATCCTTCCTCAGCCAGGAGCCCTGGGTTTAGACTTGTCTCTGCAACTTCCAGCTATGGGACTTTACGTTGGTTACTTGCGCTCTTTAGTAAAGCAGGAATAATAACTGTCCCTACCTCAGAGGGTTGCTGTAGAGATTTAGTGAGGTGATGTTTGCTTAGCATAGCACCTGGCACATCCAAGCACGTAGGAAACATTAGCAGTTATTATCGTTATTACTTGTCTTCCAAGGTCTGCTCCACCATCCCCTCCTCCAGGAAGCCTTTCCTGACTCCCTGAGCAAGTATTGGCTGCTTTACGGGTTCCCACACCGCCTGTCCACATGGGCTGTGGCTGGCCCACTCTGCAGCTGCCTCCTCTGTCCTGTCGGCTGTGCAGGGCGAGGCCCATAGTGGGTACTCAGGAGGGGCTTAGCGTGTCAGGGACCAGCCCTCAGAGGAGCCCCAGTGAAGGCAGCTATCCCAGAATCCTGGCAGGACAAAGGTTCTTCCGTCCTTCATCCCATGTGTCCCTTGTAGCCACTGTGTAAGGCTGGTATCCCTATTTGACATGTTGAAGCCAAGGCTCAGAGGGGACTTGCAGATCTTTGAGGCCACACAGCTTATAGGTGGTAGAGGTGGTTTCCTAACTCGACACTGTGCCCTCTGGTGGTCACATCAGTTCTAGCGCTTCAAGGCAGGAAGAGGACAGGACTGATGAGCTAAAACTGCTGCTGAAGCCTGGCTCCCACTGGTCCTGGGCTTTTGTGAAAACAGCTCAAAGTTAGACTTGGGGTTCTCTGTACCGTCAGGGCAGCCAGAGCTGTAGCCAGTGCCATGGCCAGACTTAGAATTGCTGGCTGAGGTGAGGTCATCTCATGGCCCTGGACACTGGCGACAGCCTGGGTTGTCCACGGAACCTGCATTTTGGTCCTGTAGTCTTACCCGCATCAGTTTAGTCCCTGAGTAAGGTGAGCAGTGGCCTTGGCCTGTGATGTAGTTTCTGAGACGCAGCAGGGAACTGGTGAGCTTCCTAGCACAGGGGTAGGGAAGGAGGTGGCTTGTGGTCCTGGGAGAATGGTCAGGTGACGTTTACACAGGGGAGAGGGCTGATCAGAGAAAGGTACCCAGGCAGGGTGTCGGGGAGCTGAAAGTGGAGGTCAGGCTGTGGAGGGACAGGCCGGGAAGGCATATGGGGAGAAGGTGGGGGTGGTAGTGGCCTTGGATGCCCAGAGAGGGCTCTGGATGAGGAAGTCAGTCTGATGGTGTCTCTCTGGCTCTTGGCAGCGATGGCCTTCATCACCTACGTGCTGCTGGCCGGGATGGCACTGGGCATTCAGAAAAGGTTGGTGCCAACCCCCTCTACTTCCCTCCCCACTTCTCTCCCCCGACGCCGGCTCTTCTCCCCACCTCCCCAGGGGGCCTGTGCCAGGTCCCCTGCTGCCCCCAGTCTCTCACCCTCACCCCTGCCACAGGATGGCTGGCTCTGAACCGCCCCCGCCCCGGCACAGGTTCTCCCCCGAGGTGCTGGGCCTGTGTGCGAGCACAGCACTGGCGTGGGTGGTGATGGAAGTGCTGGCCCTGCTCCTGGGCCTCTACCTGGCCACCGTGCGCAGTGACCTGAGCACCTTCCACCTGCTGGCCTACAGCGGCTACAAATACGTGGGGTGAGCACCTGTGGGCTGGGGAGAGGTGGTCTGGGGAGGAGCCTGTGGCCTTGGGTCTGGACCTGCGTAGCTATAGCCTCAGGCTGTGACCCCCTTGAACCATGACCCTGGACATGTCTCACACCCCGTGGCCTCCAGCCCTGCTCTGTTAGAGGAATCAGCAGGCTCCTGAGGACCTGGGTGCCATGCAGGCGTTTAGGGCTATGTTGAGAGCCACCCTGGGAACACGGGGGAGAGATCGGGGTCTCAGATCCAGGTCCTGGGGCTGAGGCCTGGGCCTTCCAGATCCCTTTTGGGTCTGGGTCCCTGTAGGGACAGATTGGGAGTGGGGTCTAGCTGGGCTCTGGGTCCTGGTGGGCAGGGCCAATCTCAGGCCTGGACCCTGAGGGATCACTAACCCCCTCCTCCCCACGCCCCCCTGCCTCCAGAATGATCCTCAGCGTGCTCACAGGGCTGCTGTTCGGCAGCAACGGCTACTACGTGGTGCTGGCCTGGACTTCTTCTGCGCTCATGTACTTCATCGTGAGTCTGGGGCTGCCCCTCCGTCCCTGCACCTGGAGGCAGAGCTGGGCCCATCTCCCCCTGCTGGCCCAGCGTCAGCTCTCCTTTCTTCCAGGTGCGCTCTCTGCGGACGGCAGCCCTGGGCCCCGACAGCATGGGTCGCTCAGTCCCCGGGCAGCGTCTCCAGCTCTACCTGACTCTGGGGGCTGCAGCCTTCCAACCTCTCATCATATACTGGCTGACCTTCCACCTGGTCCGGTGACCCCTGGCCCCAGATGGCACCGAGTTTTCCACACATTGAAGATTTGATTTCCTTGACTTTGTTTGACCCTTGTTCCTGGGGCCTGCGGGGAGATGCAGACACCTCTGAGGCTTTGCGTTGCCCAGGGGACCGGGCTTGGGGCTGTCTAGGAAGAGGGTGGATGCAGGGACGGCTTCCTGATTTGGTGACCTTGATACTGCCTTGGAAGGCAGATGGAAGGCCTTCAGCAGGCAGCCAGGAAAGTGAGGATGGGAGGGGCAGCTGCCTCTGGTCAATCTGGGAGGGGCCCCAGAGGGTCCCGTGGCTAGTGGGGTCCGACTAGCTGTGCTAAGGACTTTGCTTAGGCCTGTGCCCTATACAGCCCCCTCGCTCCCATCTCTTCTTCAGCCTTTTCAGGAGCAGAACTGGGGCCCATGTGTTTGCAGTAGTTTATTCATATTTTGTCACAAATGGCCGGGGAGGGGGTGCCGGACTCCTCCAGGCAACATAGAAAATAGGTCCAAGAGACAGGGTGGGCTGAGGCTGGGGTCAGTGGAGATGGGGGCTGGAGAAAGAGCCTGGGGGAGGGAGGAGGGCAGACTAGGGTGGGGTTGCCCCCTGCTGAGCCTGCTCATTCTGGGTGTGGGTGCCCCCCACCTGCAGGGGGGGCCTCGGAGCGGGGGTGGAGGGGTTGGCCCAGAATTTCCAGGGTCAAGCTCTGGCCCATGGCAGGGCCCAAGTTTCCCCCAAAATGGACAAGGCCAGAGGTCCCGCCCTTCCAGCACTGAATGCCATGCCAGTGGGCTGGCAGAGGAGCCCCTGCCCCTGTTTAGAGCTCTGCTCAGCCCTGGTCCAAGGGGGAGGGCCCTGAAGGCGGGGGTGGGGGAGTCCCCGCAGCAGCAGTTTGGGGGTTGGAGAGGCTGGGGGCACCAGTGCCCCCTCCTTCCCCAGGACTGAGGCCTCTGCGGCCAAGGGGCAGGGCTGGGGTGCACAGGCGTCCGGTCCGTTCTGGGCTCGCTCCCTGGCCGGCTTCCCCTTTAGAAACTCACCAACGTATAAACCATACTGTGGGAAGACGACACTGTGAGCCAGGTCCCAAGCAAACCCAGCCAGTGGCCGCCCACCCAGTCACAGCCTGGGTTGCCCTCAGTCCTCAAGGGCAAAGGGCAAGAACAAGGGATTGGAAACATGACACCTGTAATGTCCCTTCCCTGAGTTCTGACTGCAGTGGGTGGGGCCTCACCTGTACAGGTAATAGAAGAAGGAGAGCAGGTAGAAGGCGAGTTTGCACCAGGACTCCTTCTGGCAGTAGTTGAGGATGTCAGCATTCATGATGGAGACCGCATCATACATGACCTCAGAGCCGTCTGCAGGACGGTGGAAGTACCTGGGCAGAGAGGGGTCTGAGTGCCCACTGCCCGGGCTCCCACCCCAGCCCGCCCCTGCTCCCTGCCGCAGCCTCCCAAGCCTCCCTCACCTCCAGAGGTGGTAGAAGAGGAGGGGGATGTTGAGGCCCAGGGTCACCCACTCCGCTGCACACAGAAACATCAGACAGAAGAGGCCGTGGATGGAGTATTCTGGGACCACCAGCTGGGGGAGCGAGGGGGAGAGGTCAGTGGCCTGGTGCCAAGACAGACCCAAGCTTCAAGGGCACAGAGGGGCGCTGGGATTTGGGAGGTGCCTGCCCACCATGACCTCTGGGGACTAAAAGGCCCCTGGCCTCCCACTCCCTCCAAATGGCTGAGTGGATCAAACAGGCCCAGAGAGGAGCAAGGCCTGGCTCTGGGCCACAGGGAGTGGGGGCAGCGCGCCCGCCCCCAGCTCGGACACTGACCTTCCGCAGGAGGCAGCAGATGCGTTCGATGTTTTTTAAACGCTCGCGCTGTAGGGGAAGGAAAAGGCCGCGATGGGGGAGGCGCAGGAGCGGGCACTGGGGTGCCCCCTCCGCCCTGCATGTGGCCGCCAGGGGGCGCCAGAGGAGTCTCTGCGGCAAGGAAGCAGCCGCGCCGTCCCCATGGCGACCGTCACCATGGAGGGGGCCTTCACCCGCGTCTCCACGACAACGGCCCAGAGCCTGGCAACGATTGCCCCGCGAGGAGGAACCGGAGCCCTGAGCCCGAGCCAGGTGTTGCTGGGGGCGGGGACAGAGAGGAAGGGGCACGGCCACCGCCCCCCGCACCGCGCTCCCCTTCCCGTGCGCCCCCGCCCCCCAGATGGAAAGACAGACGGACGAACACACCTCGGCACAGCACATGTATCACTTACTGCCCGCGCTGGGTTCCCCTGGTCGATGGGGTTCTTGAAGTCGGTCCGCAGCTCGTCAAAGGCTATGATCTGGGGGAAGGGCGTGTGCCCGTCAGGGTTGGGGTAGCAGCTGTGGCCTCCGCGACCTGTCCTTGCGTAGGACAGGAAGTTATACAAGGGGACCAAGCCAGATGGGGACTGTTGCAAAGGTGGAGAAACTGAGGCCCAAGGAGGGGCAGGGCCTGGTCACACAACAGACTACAATGGAACCCTAGCGTCCTGATCCTAAAGCAGGGCCATGTCCAGGGCGCACCCTTCCAAAACATCCAAAGACCGGGCCGCCTCGGCCCTGTGCACAGCGGATGTGCCAGCCCCTGCCTGGGAGGAACCTGGGCTTGGGGGCAGGAGAACTCCAAGCTACATTCCAGGTGATCAAGACTGGGGGTACAGGGGGGACCCAGGGTGGGCACTGAGCCCTGTGTGCGGGTGATGGGGCTCAGGCTCGATTCCTAGTAGGCGTTTGTCTCGTGAACAATGGAGAAGAGCAGTCCAAGCAGCAGAAACAGCAGCTACAGAGGCACGGAGAGTTGAAAGAACAAGGAACATTCAGGAAGCTGTGGGGTTCCTGGGGCTAGAGTGAGTGAGGATTGCGGGAAGAAAGGCGGGAATGGGGAGAGATGGTGCAGCGGTCAGCAGAGCCAGACACGGGTGCCCTGTGTTTGGACTTTAACACAAAAATAATGGGGAGCCACTGACGGCAGAAAGCAGCAGAGCGGGGCGGTCAGGCTGATGTCTCAGGACTTGCAGGGCAGGAGGTAGGAGCTGGCGAAGGGTCCTGGCCGAGACATCCACAGTGCTTCCGCTCTGCCTGCAGGCTTTCTGTTTATTAACTCATTTAATGCTTGAGACAACCTAATGACATAGGCACTAGTACTATTTTCATTTCTGTTTTGCAGATGAGGAACCTGAGACAGAGGTTAAGTGATTTGCCCAAGGCCACACAGCTAGTTGGTGGTTAGCCAGCATGCTCTCCCAGTCTGACTCCAGGTTAAAATTCCTAACCACTTTGTCCTAGACCAGCGGGGCCTGCCGGAGTGTCAGGGAGGGAGCCGGGGTCTGACTCCAGAGGGCTCCAGCAGAGGTGAGGTGAAGGCAGAGGGGCCCAAGGGGCCTTCGGGTGCTGGGACGTCTGGTGGATGGCAGTGTCCTCACAGGTGGGGAACTGTCGAGGGGAGCAGGTGTTTGAGAGGATGATGGGAGGAATCTAGGGGAGCCGGCAGGTGACTTGCGGGAGGTGGGCTGGCAGAGGGGCCTGCTGGGGTCCCCCCCAGCTCCAGCCCTAGGAGGAGGCAGCAGGCCCACCACCCCCAAGCATCCCAGACCCCAGACAGCTCAGAGGGAAAGAACATGGGCTTCCTGGAGGGAGCTGGGACCATCTGGAACCCCCTCGGCTCGCCATTGACTCTGGGCAGCCGCCTGCCTGACAGGCTCGGCAACAGGGTCCAGCAGGGAGAGGAAGGGTGCCGTCTGTCTGCCCCAGAGCTGGCACCACCAGCAGGTGGCGAGTGTCGCGCCTCCCACCCCCCCAGGCTGCCTGGCGCTGACTCAGCCCCCTGGAACAAACAATCCCCCACGGTGACAGCTGACACGCGTCACTCACCACCAGGGTTGCCTAGCAACCATTGGGGCCTGGGCTCAGGGTCTGGAGTGGGATCTGGGGTCCTGCCCTGGAAGATTCTAGTTCTTATCAGCTTTGGATTGAGGACCACACCTCCTATCCCCTAGGAGGCCTCACTCTGGGCACTTTACCAATGAGGAGACAGACTGAGGACAAAGGACTTACTAAGAGCACCCAGCTAAATGGCTGTGCAAACATAGGGCCTCCCGTGTAGTAGGTGTCAATAAATATCTGTTGAGTGGACAGAGGCCTCACTCAAAGCTTGGGCCTTTTCCCCCAGCCTGGGCGCTCCACAAGGGCAAAGTCTGAGTCTTACTCATCCTTGACTCCCTCAAAGCCACCCAGCGCCTGGTCCTCAAGAAGCATCAGTGAGAGTGCGCTGGCTGCCAACTGCTCTGAGAACCCCCTGAGGTCAAGGACCCCCATAGGGGCTGTGGGAGGCCCCTGGCTGGGGAGAGGCCGAAAAGGGGCTTCTTGAATTCCAGGATCCTTTCTCCTGGGAGCCATTTAGCTCTGTTTCCCAGCCTGTGGTCCCCAATTCCCTCCTGTCCCTACCCCCCAGGATTGTCCAATGCCCTGGGGATGGGACAGGAGGCTTGGAGAAATTAAGATGGGCCCAGGGCATGGAGGGAGGGTAAGAGAAACAGTGGGGGGAAGGGAGGAAGAAAAAGCAACTGAGAGGCCCAGAGAGAGGAGCAAGGCCAGGGTGCGACAGGGCTGGAGCTGTGGGGTGTGTGGGGTGCCTGTGGGGCTCACTCCTTACGTAGGAGGGGTGCAGTGAGAGTGTATGACTCCTGATGTCCGAGAGACAGGCAGCAGGGACGGCAAAGGGAGTGAGGGAGAACCATGGAGCCGGCAGCAGGTCCCAGGAAGAGAGAGGAAATGGGGAGACCAGGAAAGAGGCAGGTGAGGTGCTGGAAGCGGGGACAGGGGAATGGGAGAGAGACTAGAGAGGGTAAGAGGACCCCCGGCAAAGGGGGTGACAGCCAGGGAGGTGTGGACCAGCCAGGGCTGAGCTGGGCAGGCTGCTACAGAGACAGAGGCCTGGAGGGCAGTGGGTGGGGGGAGGTGGGAGGGCAGTAAAGGGGGCCAGGGCCCCCAGTAATGAACTGGAGGCTGGTTGCTAGCTCTGGAGTGAGGGGAAGGGAGCCAGGCAGAGGAGGCTCTTGAGGAGGGGGAGCCTCTGGGGATGCGAATTGGTCTGATGTGGAGAGAAATGGACATTTTAAGAGGCAGGTGTGAGGCTGGGCCAGGTTGGGGGACAGACCGAGGGGGATGCCAGACAAAGGGGAAAGTGCAGCCAGAACAGGAGGGAAGCTGGAAAGTCGGGAGCAAACCTGGGGGGCTGGAAGCCCAGGCAAGAGGGGTAGGGAGACAAAGTGAGCCTGGGGGGTAGGTCTCTGGGGGCTGCTTGATCAGGGAGGGGGCTGGGAAGGGAAAGGGTTAATGGGCTCTGAGATACGTGGGTCCTGTAAACAGATGCAGTTGCCATAGCAACTGGCTCCATCTCTGGGCTGGAAAAACCCACAAAGGGGGGGGGCAGCAGACAGACAAACTGCCCCACAGACAAACGGGGGCGGCTGGATGGGGGGGTACTGAGAAGGTAAAGGCACAAAAATTCCAGAATTTGTCTCCCACCCCAGGCTGGATGGGGCAGAGGAGGGGGTCAGGGGCCGACTGACACACACACAGGCAGGCGGGGGCGGCGGAGGAAGGGGGGCCCGGGAAGGAAGCCGACTATGGGGGGTGCTAATGGGGGCGAACAGATGCCCACCGCGGAGGATAGCGGAGTGGAGGCTCCAAGTTTCCCCGGGGCGCTGAGCCCACCGTCCCAGCCCCCTCCCGCTCCGTGCGCCCCCTG